TTTCATGTAGATGTTAAACAGCAAAGGGGACAAAATGGATCCCTGTGGTACTCCATGGCATAGCTGCCATGGTGCAGAGCCATAGTCCCCCAGCACCACCTTCTGGAATCGGCCATTGAGATAGGAGCGGAACCACTGCAAAGCAGTGCCTCCGACCCCCAATCCCGCTAGCCTATCCAGAAGGATACCATGGTCGATGGTATTGAAAGCTGCTGAGAAGAGCCAGAAGAACCAACAGGGACGCACTCCCCCGTCTCTCTCCCTGCACAGGTCATCGTACAGGGTGACCAAGGCAGATTCAGTACTGTACCCGGGTCTGAAGCCGGACTGAAATGTGTCCAGATAATCAGTTTCATCCAAGAGTGCTTGAAGTTGTCCCGCCACCACCCACTCCAACACCTTGCCCAGAAACGGGATGTTGGCCACTGGTCTATAATTAGTGGCCATTTCTGGATCCAGTGATGCTTTCTTCAGGACCGGTCGGACTACTGCCTCCTTTAAAGGGGCAGGTACCTGACCCTCCCTCAGAGAAGGGTTAACCACTTCCAAGATCCAGATCCCAATCCCGTGCTTGGTGTTGTTTATTAACCAAGATGGGCAAGGGTCCAATAGGCAAGTGGTGGGACGTACTCGTCCAAGCACCTTGTCTACATCATCAGGCCGCAATAACTCAAATTCATCCATTAATTTTGGACCAGACGGCGGCATTGGTATCTCCCCAGAAGCCTCTGAATCACTAGTAGAGTCTAGCGTGTGACGAATCTGAGCAGTTTTCTCCCTGAAATGCTTGGCAAAGTCGTCACAGCGGGTCTTTGAGGGTGGAACCAGATCTTTCTTAGGGCCAGGGCGGACCAGGCCTTGTACCACTCGAAAAAGCTCCGCCGGACGGCATTTTGAGGAGGCAATGGAAACGGAGATAAGTCCTTTTCCATTCCATTTACATATAAGTAGTCTGAAGGACTACTTATATGTAAATTGCACAACCAAATATGAACACAGGGAATGTCATTTATTCCAGAATACAAAATGAGTTAATATTACTGATGTTTGTATTTAACACATTCCATGATGAACTGAACAGGTATTTAATTTGGTATCAGCTAACAGTTTTGCTTCCTTGAACAGTTTAAAGGGTAATATTCCTGTTTTTGAAGTGTGACGAATCCTAAAATTTAATGTTGCCCCATAAGAAATCTTCCTATGAAATATCTGTGTCTTTTGATTCCCTTGGCAGCTTACTGTCCATACCGTGGTTTGCTCTGTTTTAGATTGGCTCCTGTCAATTTTACAAGATGTTACAAGGACAAGACAATCCACGTAAAAAGCTTGTTTCAACATTTTTAAGCATTATTTGCCATTTAGTCTGAATTTCTCTTCACATGCAGTGTCTCAGATCTTCAGGCCCAGGTTAAGTGGCCCTTTCCCACTCTCCAATATGCGTCCCTGCCATGGTGAATCTTTGTAGAAAAATGGCCTCGTAGCCCTTCACCTACTGCCCTTCTAGCTCAAGAGATAATCCAAGTGGGGCACTTCACTGCCAACCACCTCTCCAATAAGTGCGGCAACCACTCAGGAGTCTTTTCAGCCTGCACCTCAGAGAATGCCATTACTAAGCCTTTTGGGAAAGATCTTAGTCATAAAGTGCCTCCTTGGTAGGTCGTTGTTTGGTGTAAGGGATTCTGAGCATCTTTAAAATGCTTCTTTAAACCAGCTTATTAAAAGAAGAACAATTTTGTTTTTAAAAGAAAGCTAACCCCCACTCCCACCATTCACGACTTCCAAATGGAGGTTCCGTCAGAACTTGAGCTTTGAATTAAAAATATGAAGGGGCAGTTGCCTTCCGCAGCAGACAAATTGCTTATACAGTGCTGTGTGTGTAAACTGCCTGCTTTTTGAGGGGGGGGGGGCATTGCCTCATCCCCTCCATCTGCATCTGAGGATTAGATCCAAGATTTCCATCTTCCAGAAGGAGTACTTTCTGAGCAGAGTTCCACCCAGGCCGGTAGCAAGCACAAAAAGAGCAAGAGTTTTGCTTGTTCTATATCCATATGACAGAACCCTAAAAATTACTTTCAGGAGACTGCAAGGGAATGAGAAGGACTGGAGCACTAGCAAACATTATCTTCTTCTACCACTGAATATGCTGGACCTGAGGATGAAAAGAGGACTCTGAATCAAAACGGTAGGTTGGTTTGCTTTTAGTCACAGGCTTTTCCTACTTTTTTTCAATCAGTGGTGCATTCATTTCAAGTAGTAGCCAGATGTCTATGTATTACGAGAACCTATTAGATATTGCTTGTGAACTCAATAGCATCATGCTTGCACCCTTCTGTGGACATTTTTGTTTGCTTTTTAACCATGTGCAGATTTAGACCTTTAAAAAGGGAAATAAATGAGAGCAAGCAAGGGAGATATTCACAACAACACTGTGTCAATTCAGCCACCCACCACTTTTCCATGCAGGGTTTCTGGGCATGTGTGTTTAATTCTTTGAATTATGCCCAGGTTTTGGAAACCAAGAACAGTTGATAACAGTATAAAAGTGGAATTTGGGCATGGAATACCAACAAAGGGAATCTCTAATGTCTTCTCATATGTCTACTATAGTAATGGCTCATTCCTTCAGACAGACAAAAGTCCCATTGTTCCCAGCATTGCTTCCTGGGGAATGCTGGGAACTGCTGGATTTCCCCCCTCTTAAATACGGACAAGATTGCATCCTAAAATTTTATGGGGTGACTGAGCCTCAGCTTGTCTTCCTATAGGGCCATCCTTTGACCCAGCTGTAGTCAAATACTGGATTATAGCTAGACTTAGAACGCCAAACAACCCGCTCAACAAAAACAAATGTTTCTTGATGCTGGCATAGAAATCTGTAACAGCTACACACTGAAACCAACAATAAGGTGCGCATTTTTAACATGCCAAATATCACTCATAAAATTGCAGGTATTTTAATAAGGCTGAGACTGCATGGTATAACACACATCCAATAGGAGCTCATTTATTTATAATGGCAGTCCCTAGTATATCTTTAATAAATTAAAATGGCTCTCATTGGTTTATATATAAAGATTCCAAGAATAGATGTTCAAATGTCCTTAAAAGAATCCAAGGCTTCATGACACATGGTAAACAACCAAATTTTACATGATATATTGCTGGTATCTAGTAGATAGTTCATATATTCCAGCATCACACAAAAAGCCACATGAAGGATATACCTCATTCTTCATTCTATACTGACTGTATTTCAACATTTTTGCTACTGTTATTTCCCTATGAGAATGTACAACGCCAAAACCTCATATTTATCCTCAGTAATAAAACACCATCTTCTTATGCAGCATGCCCATATGTAGTACTGACAAAAGGCTCATGAACAATATCCCTTGGCTAATATAATGCTTAAATATGACCAAACATTATTACAACAGAGACTTTCATTGCAGTAATATTAAATTAGAAATGAGAAAGACCAACTGGAGGCTCGAGTCTGTTTTACAATAACTATTGGCAACTCCTTTGTGAATGACAGAGGAGAAAAGACATAACCTGGCCAGGCTCTCTGGGGAAGATGTGCTTCAGGGCCAGTGACTTTCTAGCTCATCCCCTCTGAGGAAAATGGAGAGGGAAGAGCTATCAGGAAGCTGATGTCCACCATGATTCTCCTGGAGAATGTAATAGTTTGGCCTTGAAGACTTTGAAAATAAGAACAGATAATACTTCTGTTTGAGTGCTCTCCCTACAGACATAGAAATTACCCCACATTGGTTCCTCGAGTTGTTGTACTGTACTGAATGGAAAATCTGTATTACAGGGCTAGAGGCTAATATTAATTGCAGTTTCCAAAGGGGTAGTCAGGAGTTGCAGCAAAAACAACACAGAAGGCATTATCAAAGTGGGTCTCTGTGTAAGCCGGTGCCACCATCAATTCCATTCCGCAGTCCGCATGACTGGGATTTTGGAGATCCCATTTCTGGAAAAGGACAGGTCAGCAAAGCACCCTTTTGTAGGTTGTGCAGACCTACTTTGTTCCAGAAACTAGGATTTTTACTTGTTTCTGGATCCTAAAGAAAGCACTGCATCCTTGCTGCAAGCAATAGGCACAGCTTGTGGAAGAGAAGATGCTTCTTTTTTCCTGGAATACCCTTTCGAGACACTTTACACATGGGGAAATGCATGTGATTGAGAGGACTGAAGATTTCCCACTGGCTTGCCAAGACTGGGAGCCTTAAAGTCTGTCCCTCTAGGACAGAGGCAACACATTGCTGGGTTTTACAAAGGCACTCTAGGGAGCCATTGTTCCCAATGGTGCAAAACCTCTTCTGAGGACCATCTTTCACCGATGCTGTGCTTCTCAAGGCTGAAGCTCTCCCTGAGGTGGGTGAAGGAGTGGAGTGGAGTGAGTGGGGCACCTGCTTCCTACCTCCTTTGAAGGATAAGGCAGAAGTAGCCCTAAATAGTGGAATGCAAAAGGCACCAATGACTTCAAAATGTTGCTTTCAGCCTGCTAAATACCTGCCCTAAAATACAATAAAGCAGCTCTTCCAGCCTTGGGACCATTGAAAAGAACAGGTCTTTCCTGGAATCCCAAAGATGGCTATTTCCTGCAGAACTATCCATGTTCAAAGTGGTGCCTTTAATAAAGCTTCAGAGGATATAAAAACTTAAGGGTACACTCCTATCCATGTTTGGCCACAAGAAAGAAAAGCCATGTTGATTGTGGAATGCTGGAACTGCAGGATTTTTTCCCTCCTAAACATGCACAGGACTGCACCCTAAGTAAATCTTCACTTGAGACTAGAAAGAGAAACAACGTGAGAGAAAAAAGGATGTAAAAATAAAAGAAAAGCTATCACTTATGTTTGACAGTCTACCTTAATTTAGTTTCAAACTGCATTTTGTTTGTAATTGCCTTTAAATGAATTTTAACTGCTGAAAGTTGTTCTGGAAAAGATCATGGCATTAAAAAATACAGTGAAGTATATGCTACTTACCCATTCTGTATAGCAGCTGTGGGGTCATATGTCAAGGCCATGCCAGTCTGTACACAAGGGAAGAAACAGACTATTACTCTTTCTGTATCAAATGTATACATACCCATGAAAAGAGAAGGAAATGTAGGCTTCACTGCATCATCCAGTTTCTTTGCATACTAAACAGGCCCTTAGAGCTTTATTTATTTATTTTAGTTACATCCCACTTTTTCCTTATGAACTCAAAGATGCTTACACCATTCTTCTCTTGGTCTCAATCTTATCACCACAACAACAGCCCTGTGTGTCTGAGAGACTGAGACTGGCCCAACCTCACCCAGTGAGCTCCACGGCTGAGCAGGGTCTAGAACCCAGGTTGCCTGAGTTCCAAATCCATGCTGTTAACCACTACTCCACACCAGCTGTGAAACTTGCATTCATTTTATAATGTAAACTGAGGTTCTTTGTATAAACATGGTTTTGTATTCAGGAAGTAGGATAAGATTCTGTGGCAATTTTCTTTCTTTTTATTTGCAGCAATGCATGCCTCTTTTGCCACAAGTGCCAATCATTACAAATGCTCAGCTTGGGATCCTCGATAACAGCCATGCTCTTGTTCACTGTATGTTAAGTATGAAAACTACTGGGTTTAATCCTGATCCTAGCCCCTCTGAAACAATCACTTCTTATAGACAATGACTGGCATACCATGCCACAAATCAGTTAAATTATATTAAATGGGGTACCAGATAGGAAGTAAACAGTATCTGTAACATAAGAAGCACACAAGGATATACAAGCTGGTTCATCCTCATTCACTTCTTGCAGACAAAGAGCTCAAGGGTAAGCAGCTGAGCCAACAGGTCATGATAAGACAGTGATTACTTATCCTGGGCAGGTAGGCATTCAGTGGCATTGCACTGACATTACTAGAACAGCCCTGGATGAAACTTCGAACAAATAAAGGGAGGTCAGATGGCAATTTTGGTAATAGCAACCAGTGCTAGATGAGAGTCTGTATGACACAGTTCTACTATATCCTTGTTTACAAAATTCACTTATTCTGTTCATTATAATTATGAAAGTGTGCTTGGATGATAAAAGGAATCAGAAACTGGGTTTCCATTCTTGATGATCTACTAGCTAGTCAGAGGCCAGTCTACTCTATCAATCCATCTCATTTGTAGTGATAACTAACAAAGATGGACTTTGGTAATATTCATTTCATCAAAGTCGTCTTCCCCAGATGAAAGCACCCAGAAGGGAAGAATTGCTAACACTCAGCAAAGACCTGATAAGGCATACAATGAACAGTGTTCTCTGTATGTGTTGGACTACAGGTCCCATAGGCTGGTTGAAGATTATGGGGACTGTAATCCAACGCATCGGAAGGGTACCAAGTAGGAGATAGGGCCTCAAATAAATGAGATGGACTAAACTGGAAGTCCAACCAGGACATGAAAAACCAGAGAAGAAGTTATAGGATGTGGAATTTAGGAAGCGTGTGGTGGACATATAAGGAAGAATGAGTTACAGAAATTGTTTAGAAGTTGTAAAAGGTAGGGGAAGTGATGTGGTGAGAAAAATTAAGCAGAAAGAAAGGAACAACTCCTTGATAGCAAGTATTCCAAACTCTTTGAAGAAGCAAAGCAGGGTACCAACAGTGCAAATGAGATTTTGTTTAAACACTCCTTTAACAAAATAAGCTTTGCTCAATGGGAAAGTTAACTTGGCACTGTTGGCAGTGCTCTTTCTTTTGATAATTGTGACAGTTCTAACTGAAAAAACATACTGTGGTATTAAAAAGGCTCACTTAAAGAAAGATTTCAAACAATAAATCAAACCTTTTGATGTGACATGTTTGAAATGTATATTTAAGAAATAGGATGTTTTCTCCATTGAAACTTGCTGAGAAACACATCTTTCAGTCTATACACTCTCCCTGTGATTCTTGATGTGTCCAAAAGATAATGTTTTTGGCTTTGTATTACAGTTGTGTGTGAAATTTCAAGTAAGACCTGAATAGTAATGAGTTGCACCAATTCAGGTCTTATATCTCAGTACAGCAACATGTTTATAAAACTGGTTTAGCCACCCAAATTCGTTCTTCCCAGCCACTTCTAGTAGTCTTCCCCAGCCAATACTAGGCTTAGCTATACTACAGACACCTTTAAACAATTATAATGGTATTTAAAACATACATTACAACCACCACTGCATGGAAAAGTAATGTCAGAGTGATGGGACCTACATGGCTATTTTCAATACAGTGGCCAATATGATTTATTATAGAGCCATGCACACTATATTTTCGACACTGGTTAATCAAAAATAGCAGTGCTCTGTGTCACCTCCAGGTCTGCAATAGGGGGAGCCAAGGCAAGACAATCTCAGTGTCACATCACACTGTGCTCACCTTCTTGTAGCTTCCTTGTGGCTCATCAGTTCATACTTCACCAGAGCAAACAAGGTGAACAGGTTGGATAAAGGGTCAGGGTGGCTCTGAAGCATGGTGGGTCCCATGATAATGTTCAACCTGATGCCAGCATTGGCACTGGTAAGGGCTGGAAGCAGGGAAGAAGGTGCCTAGTAAGGAAGCCTGGGTGGACATGTAATGTTGGCCCCTTCCAACTCTACTATTCTATGATTCTTTAAGGAGATTTGGTGTGGAGCAGGGAGGGAAGGAGGAAGGGAGTGCCTACCAGGAACTCAAAGGTCTTTCTGCATGCCCTGGAAACACTCCCAGCAGCCATTGCACCACATCAGTTCTGGCTGAGGTGGGAGAGGCCAGAGCAACACGGCCAGCCTGGAGAACCAGTGTGGGGCATTGGCCGGCAGTGGTGCAGTATGGTGGTTGCAATCTCACCTTGGCCACAAACTCACTAGGGAGCAACAGTTGCACCCCTCAACCTTACTCGCTGTTCTGACACCTGCAGATTACTACACGGGGCTTCTTTTCTGGTCTGTAGCAAGCAGGCATTCTGAATCATCATCTTCAGCATTATCATCAACAACAATAACTTTATTCCACTTTTCTGTCAAGCACAAAATGGCTTGAAACGTGGTAATCGGGCCAGAGAGCTTTGGCTATGGAATGGGAAAAACCCCCAGACAGATAAATAATGAATATGCTTGAGTCACTGAAATTCTCTGAATTCTTCCTTAGGGCTCATTTCACCTTATTTGCATTCCCGAATGCGTGTCTTTTGTGCCAATCAGCAAAAAATGCACATTTTAAAAAGGGCATGCCTTTTCCCAACTGAAAAAATCCAAACCAAACATGAACATTTTTCTTCATAAACTAGAGCATGAAAATGTAGATTTCTGAGGATTAGCACAAATTTGCCCTGCACAGAGTACATAAACACACACCCCTGAATATGTGCATATGTGCATTTTCAGAAGGATGCACTTTCAAATGTGAATGCACATTCAGGAAAATTATGTTCCTGCTCTCCTTAGCATTCTGGTTTGCAAACAGGGCATATCCACACGATTTCTGAAAAGAAATGAAATTCTTGTACAAGTATAAGTAAGGGGATAGTTTGCTATTTTCCCATCCCTGCCTTGCACCCTGTTCCTAGTTCTTATCCTATTCTAGCTAATTCTGTGTTGCTTGAACTGAAGCTTTAAAGATGTAAATTGACCAGTTACTCAAAGAACATACACATTTTAATTAAAAAAGCCATTTATAAAGTGAGGATATATTCAATCTGAATTTGAATATTCTTGGCCCTTACAATTTTTTACTCATTATGCACCTGCTGATTCATATCCAATCCTGACTGATGCAGGGAGAAACAACACGAAAAAATAGAGCTTGGTAGTATATTCCCCATATATCCCAAACATCTGGTATCACGGCAGAGGGTCAGTAAAGCAGCAGATCATTACCAAAATTATGCTCCACAGGTCTAAGGAGATTCAAACCAAATCCAACCAAGCCAGATTGAATCTGCCAAAATATTGTTGTTTTTCAAGTGATATTATTTCCCCATACCCTGTATATGTTCACATTTTAATTCGTGTAACGTTTTAACCCCAATCAAAAGCAAATACAAATACAACATCATAACTGGCTTTTACCTAGGGGTTGCCAATATGAGTTCCACCAACGTTTAACTGGTTAGTATATGCCCGAAGAATGCACATTATGCCATGCGTTAGAAGACAGGCTCAGCCATGTGTCCTTGTTTACAGGGACTATTCTCTGTATGAAGGTCAGAGAACCATCCTCTATTTCAAGGGCTGTTTTTTTCAGTCCTGGTATAAAGTCCAAGAACCGTAAGTGTTGCCCATAACAGTTAGCAGTTGGACAGCAGCCCAAAGGCACCCAGGTCACCTAGTCTTCCACACTATGCTGACAAGGACTACATTTCAATTTAAATCAGAATATCATTTCTAAATGTGATGGCACATATAAATTAGTGCATGTAAGTTAGATAAACCAACATCCTCTTTTTGGGTAATATTTCCTCATGAGGGGTGATTAAAAAGTGGCTAACCTACCAAAGTAGAGCAAGATCATCATTAAGAGATTCTGGCTGTTCCTGCCCCCACACCCCAATGAATGAGCACTGGCTATATGCAGAATATCTGAAGTGCTCCATCACTGCAGGAAAGACTAGGAGGCCGCCCAGGCATACATGGAATGAAAGAATATAATTTTAGGTCAGAAACATAAAAGCCCATTCAGCAGGGTTCAGTGCTTCCTCCTCTCCTTGGTCCCCTAATAGTCTTGTACACAGACAGAAGAGCAAGAATTCAGCTAGCCATCATATGGAATTATTCCTGTTTATAGAGGACAATGGAGCTGAACCCAGTACTACTTGTTTCCTTGAAATGAAAACCTGTGTCTGAGATCTAAAATGCATCCAGCAGAGACCTACTAATCGTTTCTAAATGCCTGCTGCTGGTAGAGAGAAGAGGATTGGCACCAGGATCAACGACTTTGACTTTCCTGTAGCTATTGACTTTACAAGTGGGGAAATCCCAGTCTCCCCAGTGACCTTTGTATATTTTCTCTCTAAATTGCTGGAGGGCACTGAGCAGAATAGTAATGAATTGT